GTCTTCTTCAGTTTGTGTGTATTAAAATTAATATTTCATGTGGTAAAAATTTTTTTATCATACTTTGGGGTGTCAGGAACGGATTAATTTGATTTCCATTATTTCTTATGGAGAAAATTAATTCGGCTAACGATAATTTCGGCTTACAATGAGCTCTCAGGAACGGATTAATATCGTAAGGCGGGGGTCCACTGTATTATGCAGAAAATTTGGAGTGTGGAAATTAGGAGAAGGTGTGGAGTTGATAAAAGTATTAGTCAGAGAGCTGAAGAGGGGTTGTTAGGTGGTTTGGTCATTTAGAGAGAATGGATCAAAGTAGAATGACATGAAGAGCGTATAAATCTGTAGGGAAAGGAAGACGGGGCAGGGGTCGACCTCAAAAAGGAGGGAGGGGGTAAAGGAAGTTTTGTGGGCGAGGGGCTTGGACTTTCAGCAAGCGTGCATGAGCGTGTTAGATAGGAGTGAATGGAGACGAATGGTATTTGTGACCTGACGAGCTGTTGGAGTGTGAGCAGGGTAATATTTAGTAATGGAATTCAGGGAAAATTATCCGGTTTTTTTTATATAGCCGGACTTGTCCTGGAAATGAGAAGTACAATGCCTGCACTGTAATGGAGGGGTTTGGGATATTGGCAGTTTGGAGGGATATGTTGTGTATCTTTATACGTATATGCTTCTAAACTGTTGTATTCTGAACACCTCTGTAAAAAAAGTGATTATGTTTGAGTGAGGTGAAAGTGTTGAATGATGATGAAAGTATTTTCTTTTTGGGGATTTTCTTTCTTTTTGGATCACCCTGCTTCAATGGGAGATGGCAGACTTGTTAAAAAAAAAAAAATTAAAGATTAAATATAAATACAGTGGACCCCCGACATTCGATAAATCCGACATTCGATGCATTTTAACGCAAAAATTTTGCCTCGACATTCGATGGAAAACCTGACATTCGATATGATTCGTACGAGACATGTCCACGTGTGGCCTGAACTGCCCTGTGTGTGCCAGTGTTTACAAGCCAACCAGTGTGTGCGCATCTAAGGATACACTCGGTACATTCCATATTATCACTGTTTTTGGTGCTTGTTTCTGCAAAATAAGTAACCATGGGCCCCAAGAAAGCTTTTAGTGCCAACCCTTCGAGAAAAAAGGTGCTAATTACTATTGAAATGAAGAAAGAGATAATTGCAAAGTACGAAAGTGGAGTGTGTGCGTCGGAGTGCATGATGATTTGGTAAAGAAACTGCCTGCAGCTAGTGGTGATGTGAGTGAAGTTAAAGCCAGCAAAGGTTGGTTTGAAAGATTTAAGAATCATAGTGGCATACACAGTGTGGTAAGGCATGGTGAGGCGGCCAGTTCAAGTCCTAATGGAAGAGGATTCCCCTTCTAAACGCTAACACCATCCACACTCCCCTCCTCCCATCCCATCAATCATCACCAGATCTTCATTAAAGGTAAGTGTCATTTATTCTATTGTTATTAATCTATTGTTATTGCTGTTATTGTAATTATTCTATTGCATTAAACTTAATATTTCATGTGGTAAAAATTTTTTTTCGTACTTTTGGGTGTCTTGCACGGATTAATTTGATTTCCCTTATTTCTTATCGGGAAAATTAATTCGACTTAAGATATTTTCGACATTCGATAGCTCTCAGGAATGGATTAGTATCGAATGTCGAGGGTCCACTGTATACATACAGAAAACAGTGACGAATAAATATAAATCACTAATAAAATGGATAAATAAACATTTAACATCACACTTACCTTTATTGACTTGTTGGTGTATGGTAGATACGTAGGAGGCAAGAGGAAGACAAGTTTATCATGCTTCAATATGACGCTAATATTAATAACATAGAAACATGTTATATACTCTAGAATGAATAAAATACGTCATAATGTATGAGAGGAGTAAATGGTGTAAGTGGTGTTGTTGGGTTTATAAGGGCCACTGAGAGAAGCAGTACATAGCAGTGGTGGAGGCGGAACCCACCACCACTATCACACTTAAAAATGTATGTAATTTATAAATAAGAAATATTTACAGTTTAATTTAAAAATAAGAAATATTTATATTTTAATTTATAATTAAGAAATATTTTAATTTATAAATAAGAAATATTGACATTTTAATTTACAAATAAGTATGTTTATTCAGGTATACACAAATACAGTTACATAGATTATCATACATAGCAGCATATGTGTAAAGTACCCAGGATAACCCAAAAAAGTCAGAGTGACTTATGTATTTCCATTGGGGTCCTTTTATATTTACACTTATACATGTATTTACTTTTGTACTTACACTTTTATATTTACACTTACCTTGGAGGACATGTTAGTTTAATTAGTTAGTTTAATGGAGGTGATGCTGGCAGAGGTTAAGGGTGGTCGAAGATACGTAGCAGGGTAGCGTATGTTCAGCGGCCCGATACACATTCAATAACATTGGAGAGTTACTTTCATGTCATTTTTCTATCACTTACTCGTTTAACTTACTTGCTACACTGTTAATTCTACACTTTATCGCTGGCTGGCACTATAACCTTTATCGATACCTGCTGCTTTAGTATCGAATGAAGTGATGCAAGAAAGATATAAAATACCGACAGTATGAAAGTCAAGACACATGTGCAACATCTGGATATCTTTATTGTAGACGTTTCGCCATTCAGTGGCTTTATCAGTACAGATTCTAGGACATAATTAGGAGACAGTAGAACTATATACAAAAGATGAGGTAATCAGTCCCTCAGCCTTGGAGTTAGTGTTCACAGCATTGTGGTGGTGGAGAATCTGGATCAAAGGCCAGGAGACTGGCGGTTATATAGGCGTCAGTGGATAGGGACGTGTAGCAGACGAGGGCATAGTCACTGGTAGGTGTGATTCCCCAATGGAAGTAGGTCCTACCCAAAGGGATGGGTTAGTATCGTACATATTGTAGAATCACTGAATCACTGCAGAAGGCACATTCTCCCCTCTCTCTTCCTCCTCCGCTTTGGTACTTTACTATGAGTTTTTTCTTGAATTTTATTGTGTTTCTTTCCTTCTTTTTCACAGGACTGGCACTAGAAGCTTTCTTTGGGCCCATAGTGGCTTATTTAGCAGTTACAAGCACTAAAATCAATGGAATAATACAAAATACATGTATATCACATGTACGCGTGGAATCGTCCTCGCTGGCTTTGTAAACAATAGCACACTGGCTGTACAAGGAGTATGGAGTGGCCAGGCCTGCTCAGGCTGCGTGGACATGTTCGGGACGAAAGCCCTTAGCCGAGTTATTTGGTGTTAGCCGAGTCCATATTTTTACACCAAAGCGAGCGGTTTGCCGATTTTGGTGCTAGCCGATGACGCCTTTACCTGAGGGTCCACTGTACTTCATTAAAATAAGTTGTTTTGAAGATTATTATTGTTCCCCAAACTCTCTGTCTGAAATAGTTATGCTCTAATTAGAAAGTACATGTATATGCTTAAGGCCTTATATAGACCTGGGAGCGTAACACTGCGTGCTGCAGAATTTTTTTAATATGGTGCACACTTACCGCATAGACCTGTTCTCTCATATCTAGGCCCAAATTTACCACTCACAGCTTATCTAAGTGAGCCGAGTTCATGGTGTCATACTATGGGATCAACACCGGCTTCAAAGCCGTGATGCAGTTGGACTGACACTGAAAGGGTTTATCAGATAGGGCATTAAATGGGGAGTGCCTGTACTCGGTACAATCATCGATACCACTGTTAGAATTTCGACTGTCCACCTCAGCCAGCGATCTACAGTCTTGCATGTCAGCTCAGTAGGGCTACACCCTATTTTTTTTATAATCTTCAGTTCATTTACACAGTTATTTTATTACATACATGCTGTTTTCAGAAACATAACTACCTTGTTAACCAGTGGTCAGTTGTACTACCTTTTTTTTTTTTCTTGGTTTATGGGTGTTTATCAAAATTATTGATTTTAGGAAATGTTTTTAAAATTAAGCCAAATCCTTCATTTTGTGGCAATCAAAAATAGTCAATTGCCTTGTAAAGCAGTTGACAATTTTCAGCTAAGCAAATAATCATTTAAATTAGTTCGGAAATGTGCAGTTTTCTGGTAAGGATATTATTAATTTATTAGATTTCCACCCCCTGGTGACAGCCAGATTTTTGTAACTTCTACAATTGATCAGGATCTGCAGACATATTTTAAGCATTTCAGATTTACATCCTAGGTAGTAGGCTGGTAGAGAGCAACCACCCAGGGAGGTACTACCATCCTGCCAGTAACTGTAAAATGAAAACGTATAATTGTTTCACATGATGGTAGGATTCCTGGTGTCTTTTTTTCTCTTTCATGAACATGCGGGATAACAGGTATGTCTTGCTATTTCTACTTACATTTAGGTCACATTACACATGTTCACCCATATATATTTACACACCCATTTGGATTTTCTTTTATTTTTTTAATAGTTCTTGTTTCTCTCTATTTCTTATCTCCATGGGGAAGTGGAAAAGAATTCTTCCTCTGTAAGCCATGCATGTCATAAGAGGCAACTAAAATTCTGGGTGCAAGAGGCTAGTTACCCTTTCTCCTGTATGAATTGCCAAATTTAGAAAGAAAAACTTTTGTTTTTCTTTTTAGGTCACCCTGCCTTGGTGGAATGTGGCTGGTTGTTGAAAAAAAATGTGCATATGAATATAGGGAGGCTATAATAACTGAAAAGGGTCTAAACAAGGCACTGAACATGCTCAGGGGTAGTGACTGCTTTCTTGCTCCTCCCCAAAGCTATGCTAGTGGACATAGGTGTATTTTCAGGAACATAATCCATATGTTATATGAGATACTAATGTACATATTTAATTTTTTGGTTTGGATTTGGAACCTGTATTGATAAATGTCATTTTCTGATAATGATAAATGTTGCAGTCTGTTATGTTTATTCTCATTGACAAACTGTTATGTTAAGTTGGTGTTTTTATTTATAATTTTTTGTTTATTTCAGCTGTTCAGGAGAGTGATGTCACTGTTTACCAACTCTCATCTATTATGTCCTCATAGAGGTGGCTGTCTTCCCAACTTTTTTGTGGTGAGTTATGCAAACTTTTTCTTCTATATAATGTACTATTTATTGAAATTTGAGTAGCAGTATTTCTAGAATGATTATAAATACAGTAGGGCCCCGCTTTACGGCATTTTGCCTTATGGCGTTCTGCTAATATGGCGATTTCAAATTGTGACCAAAATTAACTGCAGTGGACCCTCAGTTATGGGCTGTTCCTGTTATCGGCCAACTCGGTGATCTGCCTGTTTTTCGGCTCCCGGTGATCGGCCGTTTCAGACATGTCCGTCCGCCGGCTGGGGCCACTTGCACGCGTCAGTTTGGCTGTCTCTCTTGGTGTGTGAGGAAGTTTCTGCTCATACATCCAAACATTTTGCTTGTTTTCCATTTTTTTTTTTTTTTTTTTTTTTGCAGTGTGACTGCAAAATAAATAACCATGGCTCCAAAGAAAGTTCCTAGTAAAGTTCATATGGTAAAGAAAGTGAGAAATGCCATGGAATTTCAGTGTGAAGTGTAGCAGGCATGCAGGGAGTGTAGCAGACATGCAGGGAGTGCAGCAGGCATGCAGGGAGTGTAGCAGGCATGCAGGAAGTGTAGCAGGCATGCAGGAAATGTAGCAGCCATGCAAGGAGTGTAGCAGGCATGCAGGGAGTGTAGCAGGCATGCAAGGAATATAGCAGGCATGCAAGGAGTGTAACAGGCATGCAAGGAGTGTAACAGGCATGCAGGGAGTGTAGCAGACATGCAAGGAGTGTAACAGTCATGTAGGGAGTGTAGCAGACATGCATGAAGTGTAGCAGACATGCAGGAAGTGTAGCAGACATGCAGGAAGTGTAGCAGACATGCAGGAAGTGTAGCAGACATGCAGGAAGTGTAGCAGACATGCAGGAAGTGTAGCAGGCATGCAGGAAGTATAGCAGACATGCAGGAAGTGTAGCAGACATTCAGGAAGTGTAGTAGGCATGCAGGGAGTGTAGCAGACATGCAAGAAGTGTAACAGACATGCAAGAAGTGTAACAGACATTCCAGATGCAAGCATTAGCCTTCAATAAAGGTATGTAATACTGATTTAATTGTTAATTGTTAATTTTTTTTTTTTCTGGAATGGATTAATTGTATTTACATTAATTCTTATCTTTCTTTCAACACACCGGCCATATCCCACCGAGGCGGGGTGGCCCAAAAGGAGAAACGAAAGTTTCTCCTTGTACATTTAGTAATATATACAGGAGAAGGGGTTACTAGCCCCTTGCTCCCGGCATTTTAGTCGCCTCTTACAACATGCATGGCTTGCGGAGGAAGAATTCTGTTCCACTTCCCCATGGAGATAACAGGAAATAAACAAGAACAAGAACTAGTCAGAAAATAGAAGAAAACCCAGAGGGGTGTATGTATATAGTATATGCTTGTACATGTATGAGTAGTGTGACCTAAGTGTAAGAAGAAGTAGCAAGACTTACTTGAAGTCTTGCATGTTTATGAGACAGAAAAAAGACGCCAGCAATCCTACCGTCATGTAAAACAATTACAGGTTTCCGTTTTACACTCACTTGGCAGGATGGTAGTGCCTTCCTGTCTACCAACCTACTATCTAGGAATATACAAAATATACACACTTATTGCTTTGCCTACTATATATGCAGAACATTCAACTCCAATATCAATCGTCCACTCAGACTTCTCCTAGACAGCCTCAATAGAACACACAGGCATAACATGAGGCACAAAACACTTTTTGACATCCCACATGTCCGTCTCACACCTTACAAAAATGCAGTGCACATGAAGGGCCCAAAGATCTGGAACTCTTTGCCAGAAACACCAAGAGGTCCCTTGCTCACAAATTAATTTAGGACTGTACTCAAAAATCATCTCATCTCTCAATAACAACCATACCCACACTATGCTAAACTCTGACCAAATTTAACCCTTTCAGGGTTGGTGCCATACTAGTACGCACAAATTGTAGCGCTTTCAAATCTAGTGAGAGAAAGCTGGTAGGCCTACATATAAAAGAGTGGGTCTTTGTGGTCACTGTGCACAGTATAAAAAAAATTCCTGCAGCACATAGTGCATAATGAGAGGGAAAAAAATCTCCGACCATGTTTTTGGTTTAAAACAGCGACTATGCAGTGTATTTTCGTATGGTATTTATGGTTGTATTCTAGTTTTCCTGATCTCATTTTATAGGAAGACATATTACAGAAATTGAGATTATTTTGATTGGTTTCACAATGAAAAGTACCTTGAAATTGAGTTCAGAGTAGCAGAAATGTTCGATTTTTGCCAAAGTTCAAAAGTAAACAAATCATGCCATGCGTCCAATACACGTCAACTGGTGAATCTGATATTCTTTCACAAGTGCGCTGATATTATTTATACCATTTCTACACCATTTCTACACTAATGCAGTAGTCTGCATAACAGTAAATCTTCTATTTTTTGTGAGAATAAAAATTTAAAGTGGAAAGCAAAAGAAATATAACAGAGGCCTGGGGCATGACTAATGAACAAAGGAAATGTTATTTTAGTGCCAGGAATGTCTGTCTTGTTTATTCTGGACCCTATTTGGAAATTGGCACCTTTTGAAATTTGTGCGAAATTGCCAATATAAGAACATAAGAACGAAGGAACACTGCAGCAGGCCTACTGGCCCATGCGAGGCAGATCCAAGTCTCCTACTGGCTTAAGCCAATGCACCCAACCTAGTCAGGTCAGGTCACATTGACTTAAGGGAGGAACACGGCAACCGACCTGGTAGCACAAGCTATCAGGTCTAACTCACACCCACCCACATCTACTCATGTATTTATCCAACCTATTTTTAAAGCTACACAACGTTCTGGCCTCTATAACGGTACTTGGGAGTTTGTTCCACTCATCCACAACTCTATTACCAAACCAGTACTTTCCTATATCCTTCCTGAATCTGAATTTTTCCAACTTAAAACCATTGCTGCGAGTCCTGTCTAGGCTAGATATTTTCAGCACACTATTTACATCCCCTTTATTCATGTCTTCCATTTATACACCTCAATCATATCCCTCCCCTAATTCTACGTCTCTAGAGAGTGCAGATTCAGGGCCCTTAGTCTATCCTCATAGGGAAGGTTTTCTGATATATGGGATCAACTTAGTCATCCTCCTTTGTTACATTTTCCAAGGAAGTTATATCCATTTGTAATACGGTGACCAAAACTGTGCAGCTTAATCTAAATGATGCCTAACAAGGATGTATAGAGTTGAACAACCTGAGATCTATTTTTATGCTTTCTTGATATGGAAGCCAAGGATTCTATTAGCTTCTATTGCCGAACACTTATGCACTGTTGTCTTGGTTTTCAGCATTACTGCTACAGAACTCCTAAATCTTTTTCGCAATCGTAATATTAAGATTACATTGTTTAGTTTATATGTGGCATGGTTATTGTCCTGTCCAACATTTAGAACTTTGATTTGTTCTATATTAAACTGCAATCTGCCACTTCTCGACCACTGCATTCAGTCTATTCAATCTTACCTGGACGTGCTCGAATGTTCCTCGTCAGAATGAATTTCGACGGCCTAATTTTGGTGTCATCGGCAAACTTTGCGATGTCGCTCTTTATGCCTCATCTATGTCGTTTAGGTAGATTGTGAACAGCAGGGGGACCCCAACACTGACCCTGTGGAACACCGATCGTGACGCTTCCCCACTCTGAAGTCTCCCATTTTATTGAAATCTTCTGCTGCCTAATTGTCAACCATGCCTCTATCCAGGAAAAAATTTCTCCTCCTATTCCATGTGCTTTAATTTTCCTCAATAGTCTCTGATGTGGACCCTGTCCGTCAAAAGCCTTACTGAAGTCCATATACACAATATCATAATCATTACCATGATCTACATCCTCAAATACCTTAGTGAAAAAAGTTAATAATTTCGTAACGGCAGGAACGCCCTTTGTAAACCATGATGAGATTCGTTGATTAATTTATGATTTTCAAGGTGACTACGAACTGCTCGACAATTATTGATTCCATAAATTTCCCATAATGGAGGTTAGGTTATTGGTCTATAGTTCGAAGCTGAGGACTGTCACCTGTTTTGAAAATAGGTATCAACATTTGCCATTTTCCACTTATCTGGCACCCATGCCAGTTTCTGGCACCATGCAGTTTGTAGTGATATGTGGAAAAAGAGTAGCTCAAAGGTGGTGCTAAGCTCCGCTTATTTCCTTTAAAACCCTTGCATACAGTTCATCAGGCCTGGGATTTGTTAGGTTATAATTTATCTATTTGCCTAAGGACCATGTCACTTGTTGACCCTAATCGTCACAGTTTATTATCGTCCTGTTTACTATAATTTATCATACTGGAATATCGCTGGCTGATGGGTATCCTCATGTGTGTAAAAACTTGAGAGGAAAGTATGTGTTAAAAATTTCTATCATTTCCTTAATCACTGTCAGTGAGCTTGACGAGCGACTTTTTGAGTGGGACTTCTATCTTGTACCTGATCATACTACTGTATACCTGAAAGAAATCCCTTTTGTGTTAGTCTTCGATTCTCTTGCAACTTTAACCTCATAATCTCTTTTGCTTTTCTAATTCCCTTTTTTATTTTCTCTCTTAACTGAATATATCGATTTCTTAATTGCCCCTTCCTCTTTGATTTGGCCTAAAAAAGCCCTCCCCCTTTATTGACCAATCAGATATTTTAAAACTATTGTTCTCCATTTAGGATCATTTTTGTTTGATCTGATTACCCTATTTGGAACCATAATTTGGATCCCCCTGCCCCTGAGCAGCTTAGAACTTATGACCTGGAATGCATCCATCTATCAGCAACCAATTCACCACCCTACCACTGACCTTAGTCAGGTCATTCCAGTTCAGCCCATAAGTAAATTTTTCAGTCCTATGAAATCAGCCAAGCGAAAAAAAGTCAGGGTCGGAGACTTGATTGCCATTATTGGGGATATTCCATTGATATTTATTATCATGAGTGATTTGTGATCACTTTCCCCCCAAGCTCTCGTTAACTCAAG